AAAACTTGTTAGAGGAATTATGACTTATGGTTTTTACATTACTTTGTATCCTATTAGATTTGACACAAAGATAAACTGTGAATAAGGAAGAACACGTAAATTTTAAGTTACCACCCACTCACTTTGCCTTTATTTAAGGAACTATTACGAACATTTCTGGAGACAACAGATCCACACTGTAATTGCTAATTCAAATGTAGATAGGATGAGCGCATCAATGAAATGTTCTATCTACTTGGATACAGAACAGCGTGTTAATACACTTCGATTTGTTATAGTTTAGTTTCATATTTTAATCATCAATAAATACAAATGCTTTCTTCAACATGAAAGCAGTAAGTACTCCAGCTTCACAGATACTATATACCGAGAAGTGGGTCAGAAAGAAAAGAGTCAATTAAAGCCCTTCATTTTAAAAAAAAAATCATGTAACAGATAAAAAGTAGAGGCCTAATAATTGCTAGGTACCTTTCTAAGTACTGTAATTACTGATGCTGAACAGATGAAGCAAAATATAAATACTCATCAAACTCAATCCCAACTGATACAAGCAGATGTTTCCTTTTACAGATAAATGGGTATTATTTGGAAAGGACCTCTGCCCTCTGTCTCCAAGACCGAACAGTTTGAAGAGACATTTACCAAAAAAGGGCTTCTGATATGACAATTAATGGCTTCTAGGAGGAATAATATCCTCTGTGACCTTAGGCATTTTGAATAAATAACAAATATTTTTTGAAGATAAAAAGTAAAAGCTATAGAAAATTAAGTAATAATGAGTGCTAAAAGACAAAAATAAATCAAATATGAAAAATATATGAAGGGGGCAGGAGTGTCTGGGCATTGCAGCATGGACCTAAGGAGATGCCTCCATGAGAAAATGAACTCAGCAGATAGAAATCACAGCAATTAGAGCTGAACATTATCTTTCATTTATTCACTTTAGCTACAGTTATTTATACGCTGAATCTTTAAACACTTGAAGTGACTGTTTTCACCACCTTTGTGTCCATAAAGCATTGCTCATGAATAAACAGATCTGTTCCCATGTTTCTGGGACTGTGTGGATGGGATACTGATGCTCCCATAAGATGCTGATGATCCGATGGGATGCTGATGCACCCTGAGGCCTTTCACTTGCTTGCTGCATCCTAGCATCCAAATGCAGAATTCAGACCTCCCACCATGCATTGGCTTTCAGGAAGAGGATACCCCACATCTATCCCTGGAAGCAGCCACAGCTTAGCTCAAGAAAAACAGAAAGAAGCTTCCAAGTTACCCCAGGATCTGCTTCTAGCAACTATCCCAAAACTTATAAGTTGAGGAATGAAAATCTTAGCCTGGTCTCTAGTGAGATTCAAGTTCTCTAGACCATTAGAGTATAATCGTTTGAGGTTAGGGGTTCTTTGCAGGCCTTTTTGATTTATCCAAATGTTTCATATTCAGACCAGGTTTTACTTGCCCATTTATCATGTGCACATTTACAGAAGCCTCTTTAATGCATGTTCCTCTGCTTGGAATACACACACACACACACACACATACACACCAAGTAGTTCCTTGTGGTGTGGCAAATGCTGTGTGAGAGAGAAGGAACAACACAAAAGGGTATTGTTCACGTCAGAGTGGATGAAAAATCTTTTTCATGCCGGTGGTGGTGGCACACACCTTTAATCCCAGCACTCGGGAGGCAGAGGCAGATGGATCTCTGTGATTTTGAAGCCAGCCTGGTCTATAAGAGCTAGTTCTAGGATAGGCTCCAAAAGTACAGAGAAATCCTGTCTCAAAAAAACAAAAAAATAAATAAATAAATCCTTTTACAAAGGAAATGGAGATTTGTCCTAAAGTGTGATGAACAGTGAGACTCAACTTGCTAACCAGAATACACTCAATGAGTGTTCTGTGACCCACTCAACATAGACGGCGCAGAACGGGCCAAATTGTCTCACCATACAGGCTCTGACAATGTGTAACAGGCCAGGAAAAAAGCACAGCACATGCATTTTTTGTTTAAGAAGACCGTGTGCTTCTAATTTCCAAATTAATTAAAATTTCTTCTTTGAAGAATTAGGCTTTGAGAGGATAATTTTTTTTTCCAAAAGTTAATATCTCTGGTAAGGTAAAAGGAAGTTTCTAGAAGAGTCTAACAATCCAGATTCTGTCTCTGTCTTCATTGTGACTATGGGAAATTGTTTTACCCCTCTTGTTTATGAACCCACGGTTCAATATTCTCACTACATAGAGATGGTGAATTGTACTTGAGATTATGAGTGATAATCATAATCAGTGAGTCCCTGTTAACTCTGTGGTGTCTAGCCTGTGGTAGGTGTTCTTAGAGCTACATAAATGAAGGCTGGTAAGGGGACTTGCCCAAGCATGCCATTTAGGGATCTTGTCCAGTTCTATGTATAAAGCATCCCTGAAGGATCCAGCTTTTCTCTGTGTCTGGAACTATGATGCCACAGAGGATACTTTCAATAATTATTTGTTGAGTGAATGATTAAATCGACACCACCATTAGCAAAAATATTTGAAATCTCACCCAACCTATCAGGAACCTTGCTAGGACATAGCCCCTACATTCCTTAGTGCACTGGATCCTCACTCAGACACTCAGCCCTTATCACAGTGAGCTGGATGCTTTATTTGTCAACTTGACACCAGCTAGAGTCATCAGAGGAAGGAGCCTCAGTTGAGGATGTGCCTCAAAGAGATCCAGTTGTAAGGCATTTTCCCAATTAGTTACCAGTGGAGGAAGGAACAGACCGTGGTGAGTGGTGCCATCCCTGGGCTGCAGGACCTGGGTTCTGTAAGAAAGGGGCTTGAGCAAACCAGTAAGCAGCTCCCCTCCATGGCTACTACATCAACTCCTGCTTCTGGGATCCTGTCCTGTTTTGAGTTCATGTCCTGACTTCCTTCAGTCATGAACAGCAATGGTGAAGTGTAAGCCTAATAAACCCTTTCCTCCCCAACTTTTTCTTTGGTCATGGTGTTTCATCTCAGCAAATAGAAACCCTAACTACGACACACAGGGATACCTAGCTGCTGCCTTAATTAAGAGGGTTTTCATATGTGTGTGAATGACTTTCTGTATTTATGTGCCTCAAAAAGGTACCTGGTGTGCAAAGACGTTAAGGACAGAACAATAAAGCCCTTTGTATGAGAGGATCAGGATTAAGTAGAGTAGGGAAAAGGTAGAGGGAAGAATGGCAGGTCCTTGCAAATTCTACTTCACTAATTCTCAGAGCAACCCCCACAAGATAAATGATAATATTACCTCTGAACAAATTAGGGATCCTAGGCACGAAATCATGTAGCTTAAGTAATGCTATATCCCTACTCCATGCTGGGAACAGGATGCAATACCTTCTTGAGATTCGGAATGCAAACACTTCCCCATCCCGTAAGAATCCCTGCAGGGAGAGGAGAAGGAAAAGGATTGCATCCTGGTTGTTCAGTTTATGCAAAACCTTACATCACTTCCAGACTCAATTTGTACATTCTGTGAGGGATTTTTGCAGACTTACATTTAGACTCTTATGATTAACACATAAGATAATAATGACAACGCCTAAGAGCCATAAAGCAGCACTCAAGCACCGTGGTGACCAGAACCCATCTGTCTTCATTCATGTGTCAGAATCCAGACCCTTGCCTGGGTTCCAGGACACAAGGATGTTTGAGGATTTCATCTGTGTTCTTCACCAGGGCTCTCTTTTCTCTACAGTCATAATGACTATTATCATGACTTGTATCAAACCAGATACCAGATCTCCATCTTCAAACTGCACGTGTCTCACTTTTGTTTTCGATAAAGAGTTTGTACCTCTGGGGTAGCCTACACTGTACCTGTATGATCCCAATTTTGTCAAAAGTTAACCACAGAACTCTTGGCTACTGGTAGATTCTGGAGGAGGGAAAGTCATTGTTTTGTTTCTTTACCCATGAGTGAGCCCACTTGGCTTCAATGGGTAGCTCCAAATGCATGGCCCTGAATAAACTCAGTGGGTCACAAAATAAAAGATGTGAATTCCTTTCCTATGTGTCCTTCTCTTACATTCATAGCATTATATAGATGTGCAAAATTGTAAAGCAGCACACATTTAATTTAAAAACTAAAACTGTTTTAAAAAGAGAGTTGGTGCCTCATATTCCTGGTTTCCTTCCTGTATCCCCTCGTTCCATAGCTGTAGCAGGTCCCCTCCCCCCCATCAGCAGGCTCAGAACCCAGCCATCTCAGGGAGACCTTCTTTCCCTCAGTCAGTCCTGGGAATTTTTTTCTCAAACACAACTTCCCATCAGTACAGGAACTTTTTCCACTGACCCCTATGCCTCTTTCCTTGGTCCCCCAAACAAGCCATCCTCCAAACCAGTCAGAGAAGTATTTTTACCCGAGCTCCTAGTTATCACTGGAATTAAATATGAGCATCTTTTGATATGAGATCTGTCTATATGTCTCTCCACATTGGCTGTTACAACCCCTCAATTTGTTTACCAGTCTTTACTCACATCTTCCCTCAATGATGCTGGAGAGCATTGCATTAACTATTTATTCTTTCTAGATTTTTCCTCGTCCTAACGTGGAAATGGCTCATTACAAACACTCGGGTCCCACATCATTCCAAGAAAAGGTCGTTCATCACACCTGATTTTGATCACATCACATCTCATTCTTTTCTTATCTTTGATGTTCTTCCATGTCACTCATCGCATCTTATCAATGTGTATCAGGGTCTTTGGGTATGTAATAGGTGGTCTCTTCTTTCCTTTTTAGGCTATAAAAGCATAAATGGGCACGACACCCATCAATAGCATCATCACTTAAGTAGGCACTACACCCATCAAGTGTCAACGGACAGTTGTATATTCTCATAATGACAAAAAAAAAAAACTAGCAACTCCTCCAGAAATATGAGGCCTGGGGCTTCTACAACTCTACCCTCAACCCACGTGGGACTCACTGGTCAGCCTAACGAGCTTGCCCTTCTTGCTTCTTCTAGGAGCGGCTTGTGCTGTCTGTGCTTCCCAGGTTCGTCGTGCTGGAAATGATCAATGACATGACCAACGTGGAGGATGAGCACCTGCAGCACCAGTTCCACCGCATCTACATCCATCGCTATGAGAATGTCAGGTGAGGACACGACACTCCACTCCGTCTCCGCAGGGTCAGTGATCCATGTACGTCCGCCATTCGCATCACCCTGCTTTGAGTGCGGAGTGTGGAAGAGTCCTTCATCTACCTGATTAATCTATTTAGTAGTGGTAATTCATCGGAGATATCTGCATTCCCATGTTGGCTGGGAAAGAATGTCAGAAAATTTGATTATATCTGCTGATTGATGTATTTCAATTCTTTAAAATTAGTTGGCTGTATTTTAAGTTCTAGATCCCTTTAGAAGAGGATAAAAGTAATCATCCCAACATTCTGCCTGGGGCCAGTTATAATCTTTCATGTCTCCTCCCGATGTCACTTTGAAATCAGCACAAAGATGGATACAGCTCCTTTTCCTTATCAAACAGGTTTTTGTAAGCAGCCATACATACATACATTCACACATTCACCCACCCATTCACTCTTCCAACTACTTGTCCATTCATCCACCTCCCCACCCGTCTACCCATCCCTCTATCCACATAGCCATCCACCCATCTCTCAGTCCATCTGTCTGTTAGTACCCTCTTTGTGCTCCGCATTCCAGTATGTGTGGCAGATGCTGAAATCCAGAGAGTTGCCTCCATACTACTGAAGACCTTAACTTAGATCTTCACTTTGACTTTTCCTTGTATGTGGCCGTGTATAATTCATTTGCTTCAACTTCAGTGCCTATCTGTGAATAGATGATTTAACAACTATCTCGCAGTTTTCTATAGATTATGTGGATGAAGACAGATCTACAACACATGGGTTTAGAAATCTAGTCGAGTGTCAGGCTTATTGTAGGTTATTTCAGACATACTTCCTAGTGGCAATCAGTCCCGTATAATTTTAAAGGCCCTGGGAGGCTGCACTGCCATTCACAGAGTCGCTGGAGAAGGGTAGAAAAGCCATCTGGGGAAATGGGCTGGAAGAAAGAAAGGCCACAAAGCCAAATAGCTCAAAATCACGCCAGGACACCAGGACACATAGGGTGCCACTGCAATGGTCTCTGATTAGACCACTTCTTACAGGAAAACCACTGTCCTGATACAGGGTGCCCCAGATCCACAGAAGCGAGGTGTTGCTGCCTCTGTTTTATTCCATTTTCTGTTTCTCCAGCTTTTTTTTTCCTGCATCTCAATTTAAAACCCGAGGCAAATGTATAGGAAACGGCTAAGCCTCGTCATTTTCTAGAAAAGCCAGGAAAGCTAGCATCTGACATTTTCAGCTTACACAATAGAATTGCATTTCCCTCCTACCAAATCTCATAAGACAAGATTTCCCAGCACTGGCTAAAAGCCCGTATATTGATGAGCTCCTGAAATGAAACACATGGACACTTGGTCCCTTCCTTTTTAGCCTCAGGGGGCAAGTAGTAGCAGCTCCTAGCACACCGCGTGTGTGTGTGTGTTCTCTGCCTGGCACTGACAGCATTCAGTGCACTGTTCTGCAGAGAACAAGACTCTGATCAGACCTTTAGCAGTGACAGCAGAAACCCTGATTTGGATGCTGGCATTTGCCAAGCAAGCCTTTGCACGAAGCAACCCCAGGGAGAGGTATGCCCACACCAAACTTTGGCTCTGGAAAACAAAAGGGAGCTCATCAATTCTGTTTCTAGATCACAGCATCATACGTAATGTGACAGGGACTTTTATTATTAAGTGTGATAACTGATAATTTTTTAAGGGACAGATGAGAAGTAAAGACGTAGAGGATGGGGTGGGTTGTAGAGATGCTTTTCCGGAAGAGGTGATCCTTCTGGTCCTAGCTGACGGGGGTCAACCAAATTTACACAGCAGAAACATGAACTTTGGACAAGGAATCTGCTCTAGCTAAGGCTGGAATTTGGAATGTACAGACAATAACTGGTTTTCTGCTCTATTTCCCTCGTGACAAAGTAGCTTGACAATCAAGGCAGGCCCAGACAGGGCAGAAATTGGATGGCTTTTGTTGGAAGACAATAAGCAAATAAGTAAATGTTTTATGGATATATACGATGTATATCTCTGTATATGATCCATATATAGAGTAAAATACATAACATAAGAAAGTGCCTGTCATCATAGAGAAAAATGCAAACCACCTTTAAAAGGAAGAAGGGGAAATGCGCATGTTCAGCGTTCTACTGTGTCTCCTGAGTTCACTCAATGTGCTTGACCTCCATGTTGTGCTAATCGCTTCTGCTCCACTCTGTGGCCCCCAAGAGCTCATTCCTGTTCATTTGCTCAACACATCTTATGATGGGGTCTTTTTCCCAGGAGTTCACACTCCTCTAAATGAGCACTTGGCTTCCTGCCCTGCATTCTCTATGCCCCAGGGTAACACAAGCAGTTCCTAGGAGAGAAATCCAAAAGCATCAAATCCCCTAAGACTTGCTCCTCTCCAAGAGGCAGCAGCAAGATACCGGCAGCCATCGACTCTTGGCGCTAGAAAGATGAAGTGTACCGGTGGCAGGAGGCTGCCTGCCTGTTTGGGGGCCACTGGGTGCTAAAATAAGACTAGAAAGAAGGAAAGAGGAGGAGGCTCTTTCTCAGCCGGTGGCTGAGAACAAAGCCAGACCGGCTGCTGCACCCCCTCCCCAGCCCCCAAAGTCACCTGCACTGGCATTAGGAACATTTTTGAAATTATTTCTAATCTTGCCGCCCTCTACATAGCAACCCGCCTCGTTTATTCTCCCTTCTCTACTGTTTTAATTTTCAATGTTCATTTGATAAGTATTGCCTAAAATTTATCTCCTGTACATTTCTAAGTTTCATTATGTGTTGTTGGACTATTGTCTCCTACTAGTGAAGAGTGCAGTTAGACCTGTAGGAAGATTCTAAGTTTATGTCTAGACTCAAGAGACCTTTTGATCTTGAGTCCAGCAGCTGGGGGACAGAATGTCAAATGGAATGAAAGCAAGGCCCTGGGGCCTGCTCTGTCGATCACTAACCCTTTACTGCACCACGTGACTGAAACAGGAGCTCCTCCATCATTACAGTGGATAGCCCTCATTCAAGGCCCTTGCTGAAGCAGATTTGTTTCTGTGGGTCCACAGAGGCTCTGAGGGTCTCCATTTCAAACAATCCACACTCTGGGAAAGGAGGGCTTAATTTTGAGTGGTTCTGCTGATTGGACTCAGAAAGCATGTAATGAAGCTGGCTGTGTTGTGGGTATGTGGACCCCAGAGGTGAATTTTGTCTTGTTTTGTAACTAATACATGGAACCCACCAAGTCAGGTGTCAATGCGTTTTTAAGTGTCCTGGAAGGAGGAAGCACACCATTGGTAAGACACTAGAGGTGAGTGTGACAGGTTACTTCAGTTGGAGAAGTACCCATAAATGTTCATTAGTAGTCTGTGATGGACATCATGAAGAGCAGGTAGGATTTTAGTAGGACTAAGTACTGCAAGGAGCAGCGCAGTGTGTGCAAAGACACATGCATAAAACATACCTTGATGCTTCCCAGAGGGTGAATCCCAAACAATAATCAAATCAAATCAAACAATCCCGAGCATGATGTCCTGTCTTGCATCCATCCTTCCATTCTGAGGTCCTAAAATGACACGGAAAGATGAATGGGTCACTGACTTCTGACAACAGTACCAGCTCTGTTACATGCCTCCAGCATGAAGTCAGTAGTGCTGGCCCCACCAGGTAGCTGAGCACATTGACCAAGACAGTGGTCATGTCGTGCCTGGCTTGTAGAAAGCTTTGGTGGACCCCACCCCTTCCCTGTCCAAAGCCAAATGCACAGAGTAAAACTCCACATCACTGAGATCCTTATAAATATGAATATTGTAGCTAAGCATTCTACCAGGGCCTCATAGTGTTATCACCTTAGCTCATCATTTTAGGGGAAACCTACTTCTAGATGTCTGATTGGAGGGTAAAGCACATGCCAGAAGGCCCGGGGCACTGAGGGGGTTCTGTATGCTTTCCTCATGCCAGGTCTGTTTTGTTCTGTGTTTGTGACATCTGTGTTAACTGCACATTGTGAAAATACAGAGAGAGATCATAAAATGTTACTGTAAATGGGTCTCCTACTGACCTCTTGGCAGGTGGTTTACAACACAGGGCCAAGACCATGGTTTTGGCTGTCCCTTTGTCCTTCCTGATCGCTAAGTTGACCCTCTGTCATTGTTAAACACTGAGGCGTTCCTCTTCACATCCAAGGCAGAGAGCTAAAATCTCAGACCACAGACACGGTTGACTTATTAGAATAGAGTTTATGTGTCTCCCAGAATGGACGAAAATATTAATCCACCTTTCCCCCACTCTTTCCTTCCCCGTTGTTTAGTATTCTTTTTGCAGATGTCAAAGGATTTACCAACCTCTCTACGACCTTGTCTGCTCAGGAGCTGGTCAGGATGCTCAACGAGCTCTTCGCCAGATTTGACCGGCTGGCTCATGTGAGTTGCATTTAATTCCATCCTCGTCCTCACAGAAGTGAGGGCCTGCATGTGGAATGAGGGAGGAAAGGATTCAGCCTTCATCACCAATGCCGTTACCGTTCTGCACTCCGTCCCCCAGCATGGACCCCTGACACTCTTGCACCCGAGAGGCCAGTGTTACTTGTTTATAAGTCTCGGGCGGGAGGTTTCTTAGATTGATTTTCCCCTTGAAAGACAGCTGGTGGAGTGATAATCAAACCGGTCTTTTCTGTTGGCTTTCCACTCTCCCTTCAGGAGACCAGGTGCCATCCAGCTGCAGGCTCAGAGCTGGTATGCAGAGCTGGCTCCCTGCAGTTTCCTGGCCAGCTCAGGCCATCTGCAGCGAATTAGCCTGCTCTCCAGAACCAGTGATCAGCTGGGCCCATCCCACCACGGTTTTGTTTGATCTCACTTAAGAGCTGTGTTTTAGCAAAGAAGACACCACCTTTAGCTTTCAGCTGCCTTAATCACAGCTAAGCAAGAAAACAGAGATGTTGAGATAGGCATCTAGGAACAAAACACAGACTGTATTCGTGGATCCACTCAAGTGACAGGGGAATATCACTGTCACACCACACTTAATACTGGGCTTTGGGTTCAAATAGGAGTAACCCAAGTTCCTGCTTTGTGAAGTTCTGACTTCCTGAGCCATAGCGAGGATTAAAGAATACTGCGTCAAGTAGAAATTCACTGGTATTATTTAAAATTTAGGGCTGCCCCATTCCAAGGGAGATCCTGTCACAGCTGCATATGAGCAGCCATTAGGTATTGTCATGCCCTTATATGCAGGCATGAACATGAGAATGGTGAATGTCCATCTCCATTCTTTTTTTTTTTTTTTCAGCTTCTGGGTCTTTTATTTTTTTTCCCCACCGCCGCCTCCCCTTTCCCTCCCCCTCCCCCAATCAAGTCCCCCTCCCTCGTCAGCCCAAAGAGCAGTCAGGGTTCCCTGCCCTGTGGGAAGTACAAGGGCCACCCACCTCCATCCAGGTCTAGTAAGGTGAGCCTCCACGAAACTGCCTAGGCTCCCACGAAACCAATAGGTACAGTAGGATCAAAAACCCATTGCCATTGTTCTTGAGGTCTCAGTAGTCCTCATTGTCCACTATGTTCAGCGAGACCGGTTTTAACCCGGGCTTTTTCAGACCCAGGCCAGTTGGCCTTGGTGCATCTGTAGAAGAATGAAAATAGACCCATATCTATCACCATGCACAAAACTCAAGTCCAAGTGGATTAAAGACCTCAATATCAATCCAAACACACTGAACCTGATTGAAGAGAAAGTGGGAAGTACTCTACAACACGTGGGCACAGGAGACCACTTCCTACATATAACCCCAGCAGCACAGACACTAAGGGCCTCAATGAATAAATGGGACCTCCTGAGACTGAGAAGCTTCTGTAAAGCAAAGGATACTGTTGCTAAGACAGAAAGGCAACCCCCTGACTGGGAGAAGATCTTCACCAACCCCGCAACTGACAAAGGTCTGATCTCCAAAATATATAAAGAACTCAAGAAACTAGACCGTAAAAGGCTAATCAACTCAATTATAAAATGGGGCACTGAGTTGAACAGAGATCTCTCAACAGAAGAAGTTCAAATGGCCAAAAGACACTTAAGGTCATGCTCAACTTCCTTAGCGATCAGGGAAATGCAAATCAAGACAACTTTAAGATACCATCTTACACCTGTCCATCTCCATTCTTAAAGATAAGTCTAGTTGGGGATACAAGGGTAGATATTCAGTACACGAAGTATTTTCCTACTCTTCTTAACCCTAGAATGCTCTGGACTCACAGAGGGAATGTGTAACCTGTCTACTGGGAAATATTTCCCAGAAAAAAAAAATCAGTGCCTCTGAAGCTGATTCTTGAAAGTGAAATAAACAAATATAATTTGATGCAATACTGTTTAGCAATGAAGAGGAAGATACACATGTAAGTAATGAAAGTCAGATATAGTATGGCAAAAGAAAGGTGGCAGACTAAAGAAGTAAAGATTCTCCAACTCTATTTATAAGACATTCACTACAAGACAAACCACAGAGACAAAAAGCAGATGCATAGATTCAGGGGTGCTAGATTGGGAGGAGATAGGTTGCTAGCAAAGGAGCCTGCAGGAGGTTAAGTCAGGGAGTGACATGGCAGCTTTGGGTCTTGATTATGATGATTGCATGACTGCACACATTAACCAAAAGGGAAAGTCTTGGACATAATTGAGAGGCCGATTAGCGAAGTGAAGAAATCATGACAAAGTATTTCATCCAGAGAGGAGAACACGAGTGAAGAGGTGTCTCCGTATACCCAGAAAAACCAAAAGCAATTGTGGAAAGAGAAAGCACATGATAGGAAGTGGAAGAAGTGAGAAAAGATATAGACAAGGGGGGCTGGAGAGATGGCTCAGAGGTTAAGAGCATTGCCTGCTCTTCCAAAGGTCCTGAGTTCAATTCCCGGCAACCACGTGGTGGCTCACAACCATCTGTAATGGGGTCTGGTGCCCTCTTCTGGCCTGCAGGCATGCACACAGACAGAATGTTGTATACATAATATATATA